TAAATGCACCGTCAGGGATCCCATAGAGCTAATGCATTGTTTCGACCGATTTTTCGGGCGAATTTGCCCCTGAAAGTTCGATTTTTCGGACTAAATCGCTCGTTTTGTGCCACGCCCCAAGCCATTGTGAACGCCGCCATGTTGGATTTTCCGTCGTCTTGGTTAAGCTTAGTCTTCAGATGCCTTTCCTGCCTCCGAGATTGGAATGCGCACGCCATATTTTAAGTTTCGGAGGCCGTGTTTGCTTTTTAAAAGACGCGGTGATGGATGCCGTTTTTTTGTCTTCGGTAAGCACTATCGTCATCACATCGCACGGGGAGGAGGCGAAAGAAGGATTCTTTTATTGTCTTTGCAGCTTTTTTCAGTCGCCATTCTGCACGTGTTGTGTCGCGTAGCGTCGAGACGTTGTGTGCTTCGCAGCGGCTATCTGCGGCATTGAATTTTGTGTTCTCGGTGCCATGGCTCCGCTATCTGTGCCATCGCGGGAGCCAGGTGGTGTGAAGAAGCGTGGGAAGTATATGACCCTGTCGATGGAGAAGAAAGCTGCCATAATCAAGCTAATAGAGAGTGGACGTTCGCAGCTAGGTGTCGCTGGATGACGGTCTACGCCGGATGGCGGTCGTCGTTGTCGTCGGATGACAACGACGACCGCCCACAGCCGTCGAAGATCGCCAACGCGGTGACAATTTTGTCGAGCGTTTACAGCGACGATGTCACCTTGGCGCAAATACGGGCAAACCAAATTGCCTCCAAGCATAGTTTGAGGCAAGGCAGCATCAAGGACTTTTTTAAACCTGCCTGATGCAATAAACTTCAGATTTTTGGCAAAAACGAATTTTTCGGACTGTTCGATTTTTCGTACTTTTTTTCGGTCCCCGCCAGGTCCGAAAAATCGGTCGGCGACTGTATATGATTGAGTAAAGGATTACTGGTAAAAAGCTTGCACCTCTATACTATTCCATATTTGATTCATATTCCCTTTGCATTAGAAAATTTTGATAATTGCACACCCCTAGTTATTTTTCATTAAAAAATAATGCACACTTTCATGGGCAAAACAAGAATGTTTGTTTTCAAGTGTTGTAAAAAAATAATGCATTATATCTCGACGCCAAATCTGGAATGCCATGGCAGAGGAATGCATACCCAGGTGGTTAAATTCGTCCAGGTTTCACTTCCATATCATGGTCACGAGATTGCAACGAGATTTACGTACAAAAGAATGAAGCAAGTTTCACTTCAATATGACTGTTTTACACTCAGCAAACAAATGTCGTGCATCTCAAGAGCGTAATCCGTACAAAGCAGATCCGAAGCATGTATTTCCTATAATTCCCATTGAGGTACAAGCAACACTGAATAAATCAGCGTAGACACTAGCGCCGGATTTCTTTCTTGGTATAGCTGTATGAAACTGTATGATTAATGCAATCTAACGCATGCCAATCTGTTGCCTGTCAGAGCTTAGACAAATCTGTGGTTAATCATCACTGTGTTCGTTCACGTATTGTTGTCAGCTCTGCGGTAGCTAGTGTGCTGCTGTGTGCTATCTTCAGCGTTTACGTTTCCCAATCTTCAGCCACTGAGCTTCTAGCTGTTCGGCACTGCGCCTTTCGTCAAGTGAATTCGTTGAGACATCTGTCTCCCCTGAGTGGACAGTGTGTGTGACGAACTTCCACCCACAAGCGTTGCCTTCGACGATCTGCACACTGCTGCCGATTTGATTCCCGCCGGGCTAAGCTTTGAGGGCTTCACCGACGCTGACGAGAACCTTCAGCTGTGTGCGGAATTGAACAATGACAAAATCATTCAAGGTACATAGGATTCCAACAACTCTGACTACATGCCCAGAGTGGACACGAGCACTGACAGTGCCTCTTTTATACTTTATTTTTAAAAAGGAGGTACCGACACTGTCACCAGTGTACAGCGACACCATTACCTTAGCTAAAATTGAGGCAGACATATTCGCGGGCAAGTGGAATGCTCTGCCAAAGAAAACAATTTGGGCCAAGGTGCTGACCATTGAGATGACGACAGCCACGTTAGATTTTCTCTCTTTTCTTTTAATAAAGGCCTCTTTACGAGCCACCAAAATGACGCATTCTCTGGATTGCAACGAGAATCTGTATTTTTGCCGTGACTTTCCCCATCCACGAAACCTATAAAGAAAGGTGCCCTTTTACGTGGATTTCTTTTTACAGAGTGCCCAGTTTTCCAGACATTTTCGTGGTCCCTTGAGAGTCCGGGAAATTGGATACCCACTGTAATTGCTTTCCAAGTGTCAGCTATGGTGGACCTAATTTATTAAACAGTTATGACCCTGCAGGTGCTCGAAAACTTTTTCCTGATGCTCCGGCATTAGTAAACGGCTAAACGCACCAAGCAACTATGCTGCACGATTTTTCTTCACACATAGGCATGAAATAAAATTCTCTGTGTTTCATCACTTTACTTCTTTTTCATTTTTCTTCCTTTTTAGCCCTCGCATTTCCCAGCTCTTACGTTTATTTGTTATGGTTCTTTGAAAATGTTATTACTGGAGTTCCATTGTAGTAGGGGCTTGGCAGGCAGGTGTTGTTGAATGTTTGGTACCTGGTAGAAGATTAAAGGGGAATGAGTGTCTTAAAATACGACAACATTGTAAAAAAATGCTGACTTGCAAAAATTGCAATTTGAGGTATTTATAGTCAAAAGTATGTTTTGGAAAAATTTTAGATTATGGCAAAGTACCATTTCTTTTTGTCAACAGCTTAATATATTAAATTTTATTTGTTTTTAAAACTGAAAACATCACTTTCTTGACATTGTTATTCTTGTGAAGTGAATCTGCCTTACAGAAGTTTTGAGTCAGTTTCCACGAAGATATCTAAACGAACTTGGTACCATTCTTTTCCGCAGCACTTGAGCTAGAAACTAAAGCTTTTCTTTTTCTCTTAAACTTGATAGACTCTTAATTATATGATAAATACCAGCTAATTACTGGAAGCTCATTTTTCCCTTTCAAGTTTAAAAATTATTTCTCACCGAAGAAATAGCTGTTCTCAGATCTAGTTTGCATTAGTGCGGGATGAACCTTTTAGAGTAAACGGGTAGTTTCGAAAACTGACTTTTTTTATATCAAGTTACCATAAGGACTTGTAAGAAAATAATTATTATGTGAAAATCTGTCATTACTTTTTTTCTAAATGAGATATTTAAAAACTGTTTGCAGATTTGAAATCTCTATTCAATGGTACGCATACATGGTAATTTTCATTACAGTACGATGATAAATTTTAAAAAACTTTCTGTAGGACCCTCGTCACCCCTTTAGAAATTTCGGCATGAGCATGCGCTTACAATGTGACATGCCCTGACTACAGCTCTGCCCATTCGTGCAGTCAAAACCTGAAATAACAAAATCATGTAATAATGATATTCTCGCAGCAAAATACTTTCCTGTTCCTGGATAATGCACACAGAAATTTTTGAACAATGCAATGTTGCCAAACTGCAATCTCACAACAACAACAAACAAATTGTTCTGTCCCTTGCCCCTTTAATTTCCACTGCTTCAAGGTCAGCCTACTCCAAGAGGTGCTCAAACACCTATTCTTCTTGCTTTTGGTCTAGTAAGGTACCCCTACATTGAACTTGCATGAGGATTACCATATTTAAGATGAAAAAACAGTGCAAAAATATAGACAAAGACTGAAGCGATGAATTTTTCAGTCCCTGTCTGTATTTTTGTGCACTTTTTACATCCCAAGCATAAACCCCAACAAGCCCAACTTTTGCTTCTATTACCAACTTTGTTTACAAAATCAGCCCAACGGTACAAAAGTAACGCACACCACACACGTCACTGCCACCATGTTTGTGTGAACTGCTTTTTTTTTTTTTTTCATGCACAGCAGCACTGCTGTTCACATTTGCGCCATGGCCCTCAGCTGTTTGCTATTCTCGAGCTGCCATGCGATTTCGCTAGCGTACCGGAAGAATGGGTTGGGGAACGGAAGAACGGGTTGGGGAGACTTTAGCGGGAATCTGTGGCAATCCCACAGCAACAGAGGAACAGTGGGTGCCATCACCACATCAGTGAATCGCATCACTGGCTCAGTTCCGTCCACAGCTCTGCGTTTGCTCCGCAGTGTTCTGCTACGTGACATAATCACCCCACCAGCGAAGCCAGCCATGCATTTTGAGAGATGCCTCGAGCACTCGACCATAATTTTCTTTTTTTTTTTCTCTCTTTCTGGTCTCAATAATGCCCCAACAAGACTGCGATATTCACTATGCAGATTCTTTAACAGTGGCGGTTATCACAAAAGTAGGATCTTTTTCTCTATTTTAGCATTTGAAAGCTTTTTTTATTTTTTGCATTGGGAAAAACTAAAAAAATCCGCCATATCGACGAAGTGAATGATGATGAGTGGGCGAAGCTCCGGAGGTAAACCTGGTAAACCATGAATCCTCTGTACATTTTGCCCACTCGATTTTATTACATCGCTCCCCCTAGCGGACGTCGCCGCACTAAATCGAACGATTGCCTTCAACCAATGACACGCGCCATATGTGACATCATTCCTATTTTATAAGATCTCGCGTCTTTCATCAACTACAAGTACCGCTTTCTAGTTTATAACATCTTGCATCTTCTCATCATCAGCTACAAGTACCACCATCTAGTAAACACTACAAGAACTAAACGAGAGGTGGCTACATACAGGAGACGGTACCGCCATCTAGTGAACACTGCAAGAACTAAACTAGAGGTGGCTACATACAGGCTACAGGGGACGCACAGCCCACGCCCTAAGGAGCTTCGCCCCTAAAAAAAAGAACCTTTCCTATACCAGTTCGGCATAAGCGAGAATTTGTCTCATCTGAGATTGTTGCCCAGAAGTTCAATGTATAGGTGATTGCCATTTATTTTAAGCTGGCGGAGCCCTGGAATTGCAATTCAAACACTCCGATAGCAGGATAAGACTAGAAGACGGCTGGAAAAAACAGCATACTTTTCAGCCAGGATCTTGATTTCCTCCTTGGAATCGAATCGTGCCACCCACAATCGGGCTGCCAGCTCAAGGTTGTTCTCGGGGTCAGCCTCGCGAGTTGGCACCACCAGCTGAAGCATCAGCAGGCACTGGGCACACATGTGAGCGACCATTAGAAGAGCTAGAAGATTGCTCAATCTCAGGGCTACAAGTATCCAAAACACTTGATATGGACTCTTGCATCAACCACACACACACCCTGGCCATAACCCTCCATAAAAAAAAATTTACTTGACACATTAACTGTGCAACACTTTGAAAAGCAGGACGCTAGGTGGATTGCATCCCAGGAACAATTTAGAATGTTGACAGTGAGTTGTTGCTTGCCCGACCTTATACACTCGAACCTCAATATAACGAACATGGATATAATGAAATATTTTATAACAAAGAAAAGAAAAAATAGTCTTGCAATTGATAGTGTTTGCAAAATTCTTTATAACAAATTTTTGGATACAACAAACTTAACTTTGTTCAAGATGCAGCTTTGCTATAATGAAATATAAAGATATATGTACTTTCCAACAGAGCTGTTGTGCCAGGTGCAATAACCACAGCAATTAAACAATTCAATACTATGTTATGTAAAAAATGGCCATTGTCTGAATTACCAAAATGTTGCCAAGGTTTCTGACAACAGTGACAGCATTTCCAACCCCAATGGCCCAATGAGACGCACTCTGCCAAATGAGCAGTCGGGACTTGCAAATGCCACCCACAAAAGCCCAAGTTTAAAACCCTTGATGCAAGGATAACCCATCTAGCTGGCTTACCTGCAGAGCGGTTTCTCGCACTACAAGTTCAGGCGAGTACAGGGCACCAAGCAGAACCTTGACCTCGGCAACGTCAGCGCGACTGCAGTTCTCAAGGCCGCTGATCGAGAAGCACACGTCGACTGCCACTTTCTGTGCCAGACGCTGTGGACAAGAGGAGATTTGGTTGTACAGCAACATTTTTTCACAAGAGGACCTGCTGCAAGAGACACTAAGTGATAAGATGTGGACAATGACGGGGCCAAAGAAATCTAAGTGGAACAATAAATATTCAGAACAAGGCTTTAACAACCAAAATAGAATTCGGGGTGATTTTTGGAGCAGCAAAATGTTACTTTTGGAGCCTTAATATGCAAAGCTGGAGCAGATTACGAAAAAAAAAATACATCCATTTTTTATCATGAAGGACCAAATCTGGAGCAGTATATTTAGAAAAAAAAATTGTATAAATCATTTCACATCACCTAAATTGCACAGAGTAATTATTAACACTGTTAATTTAATGAAGTTATCATTTCAAACCACTCACTTAAGCAAACAATGATCGACCATATTACCATTAGCCACTCCTGAAAAATCTTTTGATGGAGTCTACGAATAAAAATGTGCATCAGCCGAGCTGGCAACTTTGAAATTCAGGAGACTCGAGAAACTGAGTAGGGGTGGCAGAAAAACAAAAAAAAGTCTGGCAGAAAAGGGCAACAGAAATGTCCCACACTGCTCCAAATGATTTCCAGTATTTTATACATTAGCCAGCGGTCATATTAGCACGCAGAATTATGCAGCGTATACACATTTGAGTAATTGAAAATAAATGTGCAGGGTCCCATGACTAGTGCTAACAGCCCCTTCCAAGTCATACGACGCTTTTTCTCGGGGCATTGGTACACTGTGGCGAAGGTGGCGTAAGCAGTGTTCTGCACGATTTAGAACAAGGCCAAAAAAATTTTAAACACCGCTACCCCCTCCCTCCCCCACAATTTTTTTTGTCCCGACAGGGTTAGGTTTAGGGGCCAACTTCTAGGCTCGCTTGCAAGGTGCATATTATCACCCTACTGTTCAAATTCCTACTGTTCATACTGTTCATATCCCTACTGTTCAAATTCGATTGTTCGCTGACGATTGTGTTTTGTTTCGGGAAGTCACATGTACTAATGATCAGAACGAACTCAAGAAAAACATTGAAAACGTGCGGGAGTGGTGTGTAGAATGGGGAATGTAATTAAATTTGGAAAAAAGTGTATATCTCTGTGTAACGAGAAAGAAAAACCCTAGTGAACACGTGTATAAATTAGGATCGTCTTCTCTCGCACAGGTTGACAGTTATAAGTACCTCGGCGTTACGCTAACAAACAACTTATCATGGAACATGCACACAGATAATATTTGCTCGTCTGCCTTTCGGAAATTATGCTTCCTAAGATATAAGCTCAGAAATTCCCCTCCAAACGTAAAGCTTCTTAGTTATTTCACTTTCGTTAGGCCGAAACTGGAGTATGCGAGTATCGTGTGGGACCCCCTACTAAACAAAACGTTAAAAAACTTGAAAGGATTCAGCGGAAGGCCATTCGGTTTGTTTACTCTAGGTTTTTGCGAACGGACTCCCCCACAGACCTAATGCTAGCTAATAATATTCCTTCCCTTCAGGATCGTAGAAAGAAGTCCCGCCTTGATTTTCTGTGTCTTTTATATAATCGCAAACTTTCCCTTGATCCAACCCCTTTTCTTTCTCCATTAAACACAAGACCGACAAGACATCGCCAACCAAATGCACTAACTCCGTACTTCGCGAAAACGGACACGTTCAAATTTTCATTTTTTCCACACACCATTTCAGACTGGAACCAGACAATCGAATGTAGTACTTGCGATACTGAGTAACTGTGCACTTGTATTTCTCTTTGTGTATTGTATTTGAGTATTCTCTTTGAGTGTATTGTATTTCTCTTTGCATTACACCATGCCCTCCTGCTTGGACCAAAGTGTGGTCCGCAGTATGTATTAAATAAATGTATTAAATCACCAGATGTCTATCGCCGGGAAAACGCAGCTAACACAACTTCAACAAAAAAAAATGTTTTATGTGCCGTTGCTAGGCGACCAATGAAGAAAACCGGCAACGCTGGCATTGCCAGCATGTCAACTCGTGCACCGAAAACGCGGCATGCTCTTCCAGCTCTAGTTGCTAGCATGCCATAGCCACGTTTGTCTGACTAGGAAGTTCATATTTCTCGCAAAGTATTGGCCGCTACGGCATCGCATGTTTGTTTTGAAGATACGTCGTCTCGCCGATAGGCATTTCCTACAGTCAACGGACCGATGGACGCGAGGCGTTCGGACCATTGCAACTTTCATGTTTTGGCGCAGCTCCGCACAAAAATGGAGAATTTTATCAAATTGGTGCAATTGGCGCAGCTGTTGCACACCTGTCAAAAGTTCTTCTATCAACTTATTAAATGCGAATTCATTTGTTTTTTTTTAGTCGGGCTATGTCAGGCATCTATTGTTGTACGCGGCACCACTCTCACTCTGCCACGCCGCGGTGGTCTAGTAGCTAAGGTACTCAGCTGCTGACCCGCAGGTCGCGGGTTCGAATCCCGGCTGCGGCGGCTGCATTTCCGATGGAGGCAGAAATGTTGTAGGCCCGTGTACTCAGATTTGGGTGCACGTTAAAGAACCCCAGGTGGTCAAAATTTCCGGAGCCCTCCACTACGGCGTCTCATAATCATATGGTGGTTTTGGGACGTTAAACCCCACATATCAATCAATCATTCAATCCACTCTCACTCTCTGCTCATACTCTCTCTCATAGCAACAGCTGGGGGTGCACACGCTTATCCTCGCCCCTAGCAACCAGAGCATGTGGTGCGAGAGTGTAGGAGAGGGTAGGTGCAATGTTTCGTCGCTCGTTCTCTAGCTGTTCGCTCAATCTCTTCCCTGCACCCCTCTCCTGTTTACTCGCGCCTCACTCTCGACCGTTCTCTGGCTGGACACCTTTCATGAACATCTGGATATGTGTGCTCGAGATGCCGCTGTGAAACATCAGAACGCCGTTTGTTTTGTTCACTTCATAGTATGTTTAAACAGTGCACACTAGCTACTAGAGCTGGAAATGCATACCGCGTTTCTCGCAACAGAAAAACGCCACATGTGGCGAACAGCGCTATTGGCTGCACGGTGTAAAAAAAAAAGAATATATTCTTATAACGTTGGGTTCTCACATGCTAAACGCCGTTATGGACGCTAAGCAATGCATTCACATTTCCTCAACATTCCCTTCGGGGAGGTGGGGACATTTTCTGTTACAAAACCAGCTTTTAAAGATGCGCCACTTTTCTTTTTTATTAGGGCCACTTGACAACCACTATTTATTTATTTTATTTATTTAAGACATACTGCCAGCCCATTGAAGGGCCCAAGCAGGAGGGGCATCACGAGAAAAACAAAATTTAGGCACAATACACAAGATACACTGATTAAAATAGTTTGAACAAATACAGGAATGCATCAAAGTTACAAAAATCCGCAATACACGTGGTACACTGTTGGAAATATATTGTACACATACACAAGAGTACATCGAAGTTGCAAAACAAAGCAATCAGAATTCCAAATGTTCAAAGGAGTGAATATTGGTCACAGCCGATTCAGTTAGTTTATTCCAATCTGTAATAGTACACGGAAAAAAGGAAAACTTGAAAATATTAGTTCGAGCGCTGTACGGAGTCAGAGATTCGAGGTGTCTATGCCGTGTTTGTCGGGAAGTGAGTGGCTGAAGGAATTCATCGGGTTTAAGTGGAAGTTTGTTATTTTTAAGCAAGAATAGAAATTTTAACCTTTGAATTTGACGGCGTGATTGAAGTGTTGGAATGCCATGCTCTTCCATTAATCCTGTTGGCGAGTCACTGGGATGATAGCTTGAAAAAATAAATCGAACGGATTTACGCTGTATCATTTCAAAAGCATTAATATTACTTTTTGTGTGAGGATCCCAGACAGTGCAGGCGTATTCCAGTCGCGGTCTAATTATGGATGTATAGGCGAGTAGCTTAACGTTTGTTGGGGCCTTTCTAAGCTTATGTCTAAGGAAGCAAAGTTTTCGGAATGAAGCTGCACATGTGTTTGTTACGTGTTTGTTCCAGCTCAAGTTATTTGTTATAGTGATGCCAAGATATTTATATTCCGATACTTGTTCTAACGGTTGTGACGGAAGATTGTAAGGGAAGGACAGCTTATTCTTTTTGTTAGTTATGTTCATAAAAACGAATTTTTTGGCATTGAGCTTCATTCCCCATTTTTCACACCACGCCTGAACATAATTGAGGTTTGTGTTTAGCATTTGTTGGTCTTCAGGGCATGTTATTTTGTTGTATAGAATACAGTCATCGGCAGATAATTAAATTTCATGGGATCACTAATAAGGAATACAAGATCGTTAATATAAATTAGAAATAATAATGGGCCTAATACGCTGCCTTGTGGAACACCCGAAAGAACAGGAAGCCGAGTAGAGGAATGATCATCGATGCAAACATATTGGAAGCGGTTCGACAAGTAGGAAGAGATCCAATTGGTTACAAAAGCTGGAAGACCTATCACTTTTAACTTGTGCATTAAATGAACATGGGAAACGAAATCGAAGGCTTTTTGGAAGTCTAGAAAAATAACATCAACCTGACCAGTTTTATCAAGAATGCTAGCAAAGTCATGAACAATAGAAGTGAGTTGCGTGACCGTGGAAAATCCTTTTCTGAAGCCGTGTTGACAGTCAGATAATAAGTTGTTTCTGTTTAAAAAATTTATAATGTAGTCGGCTACAATGTGTTCTAGAAGTTTACAACAAGAAGTCAGAGAGATTAGACGGTAATTAGTAAACAGCGTCTCGTCGCCTTTTTTAAATACTGGAACTATGCGGGCTAATTTCCAATCCTCACGTACAACACCAGACAAAAGAGATGCTCGAAAAATGATTACTAAAAATTGGGATATGATTTCAGCATAGCGGCGCAAAAAAATATTCGGAATGCCATCAGGACCGGTTGACGCTTTCGTTTTGCGGTTCAACAACATGGAAAATGTGCCAGGCTGTGAGACAATATCAGCTTCGCTTGCGGAAGATAATACGGAGCAAGGCATTGCATCATCAGATTTAAGAAAAATGCTATGAGAATACTTATTGAAGTTTTCAGCAATGCTATGCTTATCAGTGATGGCGATGTAGCATGTAGCATTGGTTGAATTGTTTTTTTCTTTTTGCGCAGGAAAGTCCAAAATTTATGCCGAGCGGAGCGAATAAAGTCTGGCAGGGTCTGTTCAAAATAACGTCGCCTTGAGCACACCACGGCATCTTTAAGGTTAGACTGCACAACACCGATAATACTCGGACAGGCAGCTTTACGCTTCAAACGCTTGACTTTTTTTTTCGCGTGCAAAACATCGCGCGTGATCCAGGGATTGTTTTTACGAGTTTTCCTAACTTTGTTTGGTATAAAGTTATTGAGGCAATAAGTACATATTTCCTTAAACCTCGTCCAGAAGTCAGCAGTATCAGAGCCATTAAAATCACTCAGACAAATTTCGAAATAGTCAAGCACACTTTCATCCCTGGCACACGAGAAATCTTTTACAACAGTTTTTTTTGCACAAGGCGTTTCATACTTAGCGTTCACTAAAGCACTAACAGACAATGTTAAAAAGAGAGATATAAACTTGCACAACGTCATGCAATAAAATTAATAAGAAGGGTCAGGGGTAAGCTTTCTTTCAGAATACAGTTTCCCAAAGACTGCACATGCATAGAGAGCTTTTTAGTATGCAATACCATAAGCAGTGAAGCTTCTCTCTGTTGGCATACCTGTACTCGACCAGTAGTCCTTCCCAAAAGTCCCACAACTGTTTCAAGCATCTTCTCCACAGGCAAGTTTTTGGGGTTCTCCTGCAATCAAAAATCACTGTTCGTATCACTTCAGCAATTACGAGTTATGAAATTAAGTTATTAGTGAAAATCCTCAAGTTCTTACACCTGTGACTTGAAGCGTGTTCTACTTTTTAGTTTCTTCCGAATCATGTTCCAAGTAATGCATGTGACAGAACGAATTCCCAGGAAAATGATTGTGCTGCAATTGTTTAGTTCTGCTTTTCAAGGACATCGAGTAGGCTCATTCGATTGCACTAAGCGACCGCCACAAATTCCGATCAATATTTCTTAAAACCCTCCACTTTCCCGGGGAAAACACAGAAAAATTTAATGTAACACTTCATTCATTTGTGTTTTTGAATTGTTGATATTCGGACAAACTGAGTTCATGATGTAAGATTATTCTGGGACCTTACAGACAGAACCAACATCCGATTATGGAGTATGATATAAAATATTGGGGAATAAAAGGGGACTTCAGATTAGTAATTATGACTACCTGAGGTACTGTTTATATAAGGGGCAAGCCAATTCTATTGCGTAGAACTTCTTGTTGCTATCTAATTTGAGAATAACTGTGTAGAGGCAACCACATGTAATCTTCATACACAATACATTCATTAACTTCCAGATTTTAATCTTTTGTACTCATTTTTCTTTAAGCTTCTACACACCTTCACGCTCAATGCTCCAGCAGCAAATTTCTTGATACACTTAAACTTGGATATAATGAAACTGCCAAATTCCCCAAAATATTCGTTACGAGCAGGTTTTCGCGATACACGATTTCAGAACGAAAATTCAGCAATGAAACAAACAATTAAAAGTCACAGCTTTGCCGCAACGGTGAAGCAATTAACACAATATCAACAAATTGGAAGGTTACGCACAGAATGGCAAGCACATTAAAACGTGCCCAGTGTTTATCACGCAAAATTGACGCACAGAACGTACTCACAAGTACAAATGAACAAGAATAAGAGTTTCAGGTGTTACTACGCTTTGTCTGTAAAGCGCGCCCTCTTGGCAAACTGAGACTGTGCGGCGATTGCAGTGAGCTTTGTGCACCCGGTAACTACAACAGAATCGTTCCGGTGAAAGCCCAAAGCCAGCCAAGACGTACGATTGTCCCACCACGAAATAAGCGCTAGTGTGAGCGTCCACCCTGCCCCCTTTTCGCAAGACAACGTATGCGTGAGAGATGAGAGCATGCGCCTCTACGTCATGATGATGTGGCGATGCGCGCTCATTGTGCCATTTTGCTGGTATTGCTGAAAACACGATAGTTCCCCAAGGATGCCGGTCACCAGCAGCAAGAGGTAGATATATATAGCTTGCCATTTGAACGTTGAAGGAAGTGCTGCTTCGGGGCTCAGTGGCCAACGCTTCGCAAACACAATTCACAGGTCCAATGTTCTATTCCGTGCACCGAAGTCTTTTTCTGTATTGTTTTTCTTTCTCGAGCTTTCATATATATAGATACGTATACATATACAGTGAGTGAGGGCGACGTTTGTGCCAAACTTCAGCCGAGAGCATCCATATAACTGCTATTGCAATGAAAAAAAAAGCCAGCTGAAGGCAGAGCTCACATAAAACATTCAAGTAGCGATAAAAACTGCTATATTGCAATAAGAATTATATGCCCACTCTATATGTATGAAGTGGGCTATATACCGTAATTACTCGAATCTAACACGCTCCTTTTTTTCCAGTTAAGCGAGTTCATAAATCGCATGCGCGTTGGAACCGAGTTCGAAAAAAAAATGAATACGATCATTCTATTGCCATTGGCATTTCCGAAATCGCCGCCCCCTACGTGCTTCGGCATGGCGCGTCGGCCATTTCTGCCTATGTGTTTCCCATGTGCGGCACTTCGTACGTGTGCAGAGGAGTTTGTAATCTTGTAGTTCATTAGCATCAACAGCATGGAAGGGCCGACTCGAAAAACTCGACGAGTGCACCACGATGCCGCTTTTAAAAGAAAAGTCTTCGCGATGCCCAAACGGACGTAAATCGGGCCGCATCGCGGTCGTTCGGAGTTTCCGAAACGTGCGTGCGGGACTGGCGGAAACAAAGGCATAAGATTGTCGACAGCAAAGATTCACGCAAAGGCTTCAGTGGACCACAAAAGGGTCGGTTTCCGCAAATTGAAGAGCTGCTCACCGAGTATGTGCTTGAGCAGCGAGCGGCACAGCGGCCAGTGACGACAGAACTGCTCCAAGTGCAGGCTATGCGGTTAGCTTTAGAAAAAGGGCTAACACGGAGCCAGTTCAAAGCGAGCAGGTGCTGTCTAACTAACTTTCGGCTTTTTTCCTCCGAAAGCGAACGGCATGGGCCAAAACTTGCCGGAGGAGTACGAAGAAAAGCTTAACAGTTTTCAGAGGTTCGTCCTAAACTTGCGGCACAACAACGGCTACCTGCTTGGGCAAATCGGGAATGCCGATCAGACGCCTCTTTACTTCGACATGCCTGGCACCACAACCGTCGAGAAGAAGGGGGCGAAGCAAGTTCGCGTGCTGACATCGGGCCACGGTAAAACTAGAGTGACGGCAATGCTCCGTTGCACGTCAGATAGGCACAAGCTTCCCCCATACCTCATATTTAAACGGAAGACGCTCCTGAAAGGAGTCGTTTTCCCGAGTGGTGTGATCGTGCGGGCCAACAAGAAAAATGGGTGCGCGTTGCAATCAATGTCTTACTTTTTTTTTTCGTCGTGGAAACCGGGTGCGCGTTACAATGGAGGGCGCGGTAGAATCAAGTAAATACGGTGTATATATATATATATATATTGCTACGGGAAGGAGACTGACTCAGAGGGGTAGTCACCGATGTATTTACAGCCGGTTAGGCGAGCAGCGCCAGCCAAACAGATTAGCTCGTGCCAGTCTATCTGCTTTGTCTTCTTCAGCTCCATGCACTGGCACGTAGCATGACCCCCAGCAGCAGAGGCACCATCGCGGTGCTTTAAAGGTCGTAATACTTGACGCAATATACGGTAGGGTCCCGTGTAATGAGACAGAAGTTTTTCGGATAGGCCCAGCCGACGATGAGGGAACCAGAGTAAAACGAGGGTACCGGGAGCAAAATGTACGTCTCTATGTTCCGCATCGTACTGACGGCATTGGTTGGTTTGCGACGCCATCAGCCGAGCGCGAGCGAGCTGACGGGCATGATCGGCTCGTGCAATCGCGTCGCGGGCATACTCGCTGGTGTACGAGGTGTGAGCTGAGATGACTGTGTCCAGTGGTAAAGTCAGCTCTCTTCCGTACAATAAGTAGAACGGCGAAAAGCCCGCTGTGTCGTGACGGGATGAATTATACGCGAAAGTTGCGTAGGGTAAGCCAAGGTCCCAGTCTCGGTGGTCGGGCGGCACGTACATAGCGAGCATATTTGTTAAAGTGCGGTTAAATCGTTCCGTGAGGCCATTTGTTTGAGGGTGGTAAGGGGTTGTTAGTGTGTGTTGCGTGGAACAAGAACGCAGAATGTCGGCGATGACTAGGGATAGAAATGTACGGCCACGGTCTGTAAGAAGCTGTCTCGGAGCACCGTGAATCAATATAACGTCCTGTAACAAGAAGTCAGCGACGTCGGTTGCACAGCTGGTCGGTAGAGCTCGCGTAATAGCGTAGCGTGTAGCGTAGTCTGTAATAACGGCTATCCATTTGTTTCCCAATGTTAATGTGGGAAAAGGACCAAGCAGGTCTAACCCAACACGTTAAAATGGTTCCGCGGGTATGTCAATTGGTTGAAGATGGCCAGCGGGTAGCAGCGACGGTGTTTTACGACGTTGGCATAGGTCACACGTGGCAACGTATCGGCGTACCGAACGAGCAAGGCATGGCCAGAAAAAACGGCACCGGACGCGCTCGTACGTGCGGGATACACCAAGGTGTCCAGCCGTGGGAGCGTCGTGAAGTTCGGTGAGAACACAGCGGCGCAAATGCTTAGGCACAACAATGAGAAGGTCGGGCCCGTCCAGTCGGAAATTGCGACGGTATAGCACACCCTTTTGAATGACAAAGTAGCGGACGGAAGCATCATTTGTGGAAGATCCCATACGGCTGATCCTCACAGACGAACTGAGTGGTCGCAGGTGTGAGAACCTTCTTGATGATGTCAAGCAGCTCTGGATCACGCTTCTGTTCTTCCCCAATATTAAGGAAGTCGGACACTGACAAGATAGAGTTCTCCGTGGGCTCGTCGGTGTCCTCACGATCATCGACAGGGTACCGGGAGAGGCAATCGGCATCACGGTGTAGGTGGCCAGATTTGTAGACCACCGAATAGGAAAACTCTTGCAGGCGCAAAGCCCAGCGACCAAGGCGGCCTGATGGATCTTTCAGAGAGTCGAGCCAGCAGAGTGCGTGATGGTCGGTAACTACCGAAAATGGGCGTCCGTATAGATAAGGTCGAAATTTCGCCACCGCCCATACAAGAGCCAAGCACTCACGCTCTGTTATCGAATAGTTACGTTCAGGGGCGGATAGGAGGCGGCTGGCATATGCAATAACGCAATCATGGCCATGTTGTTTCTGAGCCAGCACTGCACCAATGCCATGCCCACTTGCATCTGTACGGATTTCCGTAGGGGCAGCAAGGTTGAAGTGTGCGAGAATCGGAGGGGTAGTGAGAAGAGCGACGGGAGTCGAGAACGCAGAAGTCTCTTTGGAGCCCCATGAAAACGGGACTTCTTTCTTGAGAAGCTGCGTAAGCGGCCTCGCTATGTGCGCAAAATTTTTCACTAAGCGTCGGAAGTAGGAGCACAGTCCGATAAAGCTGCGTACATCCTTCGCAGATTGTGGTACAGGAAAGTTTTTAACGGCGCTGATTTTTGCCGGGTCTGGTTGTACACCGTTGGCGTCTACTAAATGGCCAAGCACTGTGATTTGATGACGTCCAAAGTGACATTTGGACGAGTTGAGCTGCAGGCCAGCGCGACGGAAGATTCCCAGGATGGCTGAGAGGCGCTCTATGTGAGTTTCAAATGTTGGTGAAAAGACGATGACGTCGTCCAA